CTTACTGGTTTTAGCCTTTCCACCAATTCCATTGGCCTGTGGAGGACAGAAAGGAAGTCACAAATCTCACCACAACACACATGAACTCACTGGCCGTAATTGATCTTATAAAGGGCTGTGTACATTTTGTGCTGGGACTCTCTCACTATCACCTGCAATATGCATTGCACAACTTGCCTGTCTGCCAGGTCAACAATTTCTCCTTGCAGGTCCTAAGTTAGACTCTGGTAACGTTTCAGTATTTCATCTTGGAGTATCCAGGAACATAAATATATATGAGAACAGCAGTTCTCAATTTCTTCATGCCACACGTCTTTTTCTTTAAGTAAACTATTTTAACAACATTGTGTGTGCCAAACCCTCTTCTGATGTAGAACTAGGGGAAGAACAGAAATTTCAATACCCTTTAACACAACTGAGCAACAGTTGAAGAAACTCGATTTCTGTCCATGGTAGACGCATTCCAGGTAAAGCATGATACAGCCTATTTCACTAACCCACATAGATCTATCTTCATCATTTTAAAAATGCCATGGCTCAGTTTGGTGTTTATTTTGGGGGGGGGGGGAAGTCAAGAAGTACTGTTTGGAAGAATGCCAAAGTTTGGCATCTATTTCTTTAGGTCAAAGAAGAAAAAAAAGGCACGCACAGGGTTCCTCTCAAATGGAATTCAAAACTTTTTTCAATTTCATTGGCATCAAAATTGCTATCAACTTCCTGGTGAACTGAAGAGCATCCACATGCTCTGGGATGCAAGACTGGCTTCTAGTGCTGCATTGTCTTTTCTTGAATATATAGAGAATAAATATTTGGAGTGGTTCAAGGATTATCTTTCCCTCTATGAAGTGTAATAATAAAAAAACTTATTCTAATGTAATAATACTAACAAAAATCAGTAGCATTTGTTCATTTAAAAGAGATGCAGAAGATGGGCAGAAGCTTCATCTGGGTTTATTGAAGAGCTGATTATGACCATGTGCCATGACTTTGTCAACTAACAGTATCCCTGGTGGTCCAACTGCCAACACACCTCTGCCAATCCTGCAGACAAGGTCCCATCAGCATTTTCTCTAAATTAAAATAAGAATGGCAAGAAAGGTGTCCTACACTGTTTACAGTGGAAAAAAAGTATATTCAGAAAGTTCTTTTTCTTTTCATGTTTACAATACTCTCTTTTTTTTTTTTTAGTAAACCAGTTGTCAGATTCCGTAAATCTTCAGCTTTTTACATGCTCATTGCTCAATCTACTCAATGTCCACCTGCATGCTCCAGAACTCTTTCCCACCTTTGAAATATTATGGTAGCTCTGAAGAACAGTGGTCTGTACTTTGGTCCAAGTTCATTAGAGATGAAAGAAATTCAGAGGATGGGAAAAGCAGACTGGGAGAAGGGCTTCCCTACTTTCTGTCTTTTGGAAATCAAGCAGAGAACATGAAACATAGTCCAATTAACTACACTCTTGAGGCAAAAACTAGGGAGTAAGAGACAAGTACAGACAGGACCCAGCAGGACAGGAAACCAAGACGGTGTGATGGGCACATCACGGTATAGCACAGTAGAATACTGCAAAGTTAAACACTACCACTTGCATCAGTGACTCTGCTACTCTATGCTCACCTTGGGAAAAATAAAAACACACAAACAAACACACAACAATTAAGAAAGGAGGAAAGAAGGAATTAGGACTTCTCATTACCTTTTGTCCATAACCTCCAAGTTAAGAACCCAAATCTCAGAGCAAAAGGAAATTGGGAGGGAGATAATGCTAACAGCAAGAATGGTTATTACCTGACAAATTATCTAAAAGGCACCTTTCCCCACAAAGATTCTTAAATAGAGACAACACAAAGTGTTTATTTACTTATCAGTTCTAGCAGCTACACTAAAGCCATCAATAGGATTAAGAGGTGTAAGAAAAATGGCAAAAATATCAAATTAATAAAACTAGCATTTACAGTAGCACCACAGTAATGAGAAGTACTTATATAATAAAACTACCCACTTGGAAACAAAGATTGGTGAATACAGAAATGATAATCACTATTCAACTTTCTCTTTGGATATTTTATTTCATTAGTGGACAGAGAGAAATTCATAAAATGCACAGAACATAAATAAAGCTAGCGTAATACTTTAAAGGATTCTTATGCCCTTCAGTTCTTTGCCTCAAAGCCAATGTTTTGCCTTCACTAGGGCACATACACTTATAGGTCTGGGGGAGTTTTAATCAATTCTACAGAAAAATTGTTCCAGTTTACTCATAATCAAAGTATGGAAGCAATTACAAAACATGCTGACGTTCTATCTTCCCCCCTCCTCTTCTACTAAGTCTGGAAGATACTTATCCAAGAGAATTAATGGAAAGCCTTCTGAGCAGTGAAGGTGGACACTGCTCCTGTCTGCACTGGAGAGCTCGATCCACTGCAGCAGCTTCCAGCTGCCTTAACTACACCTATGCCAGAACCAAAAGGTCATCAGTGTATGTGTCCAGACACTGGAGCACAGTCATTGCTATTGCTGCAATGGTCTCTGGCACACATCACGAGCAGGCAGCTAGGGCACAGCTGGTACATTCTGGAGGCAAGGAGAGTCTTGAGGACAAAAAATGGTCTTCAGCAGTTTTGGTCACTAATTAAGTGATCAGCTCATGTATTGTGAGAGCTTCCAGAATTTACTGAGCACAAACTCAGCAATAAAATTACTCCAGTAAATTCTAGTGGTAAATATTTGATGGACCAAGTACAAAGCATGGACAACACCAGCTGCTGTCAGTTGTGACTGTTCCTTTAGCCAGAGGATTTCCTTGACCCTGCCTCTACCTGTCTGCAGGATTATAAATACTCCTCTTGGTCATTGCCTCCGTGAACAACCAACATATTCAACAGTTTCCCTTCAATTAGAATGGAAGGCTAAATATAATCATCCAGATTACTTTCTTGCTACTGCTTCCAGTGGCACAGTTGTAATGCTGATAGAGAGAGCTTCTAAAATGAGGCACACAAGGGTTCACCATACTTGTTCCAATTTACTTGAGTCAATTACAAAAACCTGTGATCAGTCTGTATGAGTTAAAATTCTCTGGTACAAAAACTCCAATAATGCCCTAGTTGCAGTTTGTGTTCTTTCAAACACAGATAGTTTGCGAGTTTTAAGTATTTTTACAGAAAATTTCTATTAAAAGCAACAAGTGAACAAAAGAATCACAAAGAAACACAAGACACATTTCAGATAATTTTTTTTCTGTATGAATAGGCTACCATTTCTTGCAGCAAATATTAAGCCTTTTTTAAACTTATACATCTATTTCTGTATTTTGGCTATAGTTTATTACAAGTTCATTTCCAAAACAAAGTATAATTCAGTGACTTTCCTGGAACCTTCCTCCTAATCCTGTTGATGTAGAGTTCAGAATTCAACATCAATGTCCTAGACATGCACTGACTTTTAATGCATAAAATTAACTCTGGATGCAGTCCATATATGCAGTACTTACATACAACATACAACACTTAGATATGTACAGACAATACGATATATATTAAATTGACACATATTTTCCAAGACTGGTAGGTACCAGATGGATCCGGCTGGTGCAGTTCAGAGCTCCCACTGCTATCAAAGCCCACAGTCAAGGCAGATATACCAAAAGGTCTATAGCCATTGGCTTTGCATACAGCACTCTGGGAAAACTGACCAGTTTTGGCATCCCAGAAAATCATGAAATTTACTGACTCAATACCAGCAACACAGAAGACTGAAAAAGCTCTTCATTTCCAACGCATCATAGAGCTTATTCCCAATCTTCAGAAGTTAGTTTGTGGTCAGTATTCTAACTGCACAACTCCATTCAAGTAATGCACACGTAACTGAGGTAAAACAAGCTTCATTGTAAAGAAACTACTCCCTGTTAAAACCACGCAAACTACAGAAATTAAGGCTGAATCATATCATTGTTTAACATGATCTCGGGCACAGTTGTGAACAGATTTGAAGGAACCCCTCAGCTGGTTGCAATCAATCAGCCTGCTCACAGGTGTTCTGATAGTCTTTAGTATTTGAAAACAAGAAACTGCATCTGTGAATTTTACATTCAATTTGACCTTTCACATTGCTCTCTTCTGTAAGGGATGTTATTGCTGTCTTCTTTTTAACTTTGTATTTTTATCCCAACTCTTTTATACAGTAACATTGTTTGGTCTCTCTCCTTTATTATTTTCAAATTATACAATAAAGTTCTTCACAGATCTTTACATGTGTAGAACAGTTATGTTTGCTGATGCTCCTTAAAATAAAAGAGCTTATAATGATGATTTTTCTTTTTGTGAAAAATGGTGATATTAATTTTTTTAAGAAATGCAAAAAAACCCGTAACCTAATTTCTTTTTTTTTTTTTTACATATAATAGTTAAGAACTACCAGTTTGTTGTCAATACTGAGTATTCTCTGACACTTTTAAGCAGGAACCTACAAGTGTCAAACTACTTATCTGCTAAAGTTGCAAAACAGTGTGTGATATATTCTACTGTGGCTGGACCCTCCTCGAGAGTCAGTTTATGGTGCTGTTAATCACCATCCTGGCACCAGCAGCCAAGTCTGTATAATTATGGTGATAAAGTAATCACAAAGACTCTTTCATTAACTAGCAACAAATTCAACAAATTTAAAAAGAAGCAAACCATTGCAACTTTTTTTGAGTTAGAAACCACTGAAGAAGCAATGTAGATTAAGACAGAGACAAATTCATAACAGCACACAGGAGTAACCTTCTTCTGAGAAATAGCAATTTTAAGTCAGTTTCAGGCCATAACAGTTTTTAAGTTTACAGAAAGTTAACTTGCAGAATTAAAAATGGATTTAGCTGCTCCAAAAACACATATGAGAAGCACCCTCTTCCCTAGTGTACCACACATCATGTTTTTGGTATTGTACCACTCCCACCATCCCATAGTACCAGGAAATGGGGCTACAGCTCCTTAATAGTGTGTAAGAAGAGACAGTTGCTGAGGTATGTCTTTATTCTTCTTCATTACAAGCTACTGTAGAAAATCCAAAGCATAATACCACATTACAACTTTCCTGATGGTCAAGCCAGCTAAGTTCCGTACTTCTCAATTTCATAGTCAATCACTCTCTGGTGCAGTTCTTAATTCTTCCATTCTCCCACAAAGTCATCTGCTTGTGAGGCCAGGGAAAACACAGTTTGCAAAAGTAAAAGATAATGAATTTTTTGAAGTTAGATCATTTTGATGAGCTGTTTACTACAAAAAGCTGAAAATTTCTTCAGTCACTTGGACTCCCTTTCTTGGGGAGCAGCTCCATGTTCAGCGTCAGCCAATGTAAGAGCACACTGCAATCAAAAAAGAGATTCTCCTATCTCCTGCCCCTCACTTTATCTTTTCATTCTCTCTCTGGTTTAGGACGAACTGTTTTGCAGTTTTTAAGTCAGATCACTGTGTTGACCCAACTCAAAACTAAATTTTCTTTGACAAGCTGAGTTTTGTTTTTATCCCTTCTGAAAGCATGCAAAGAGGACAATTTAACATCCTGATAGCACAATCTAAGTGGAGAGTGCCATAAAATACAACAGTTCTGTTCTTCCCAAAAAGTTCCACAGAGACATTCCTGCAGCTTCCCTTGAACTGGATTTAACAATCACACAGCTTTGTGGCAACTCACCAAAGAAAAGAGTTCACTTTACATCAGATCAGTGAGTTTAGCACTGTTATCTTCACTTGCACCTTGCATGGTTGGATTCCTTAGGTGTAACATCAAATTGCACCCTCAGTGGGTGGCAATAATGGTTTGACCATCAGAAAAGGACAGTTCCATCTCCTCCTCCAGCTTCTTCCTTCACTCCCCCTTTCCCTCACAGAGTTATGGGATTCATATAATTACGCATTGAATCAATCCAACAAGCAAATGAAGAGGGTTTTTTTTTTCTGTGAGGTTGGTGAGCTGAGTCAACTCACAAGGGCTCCAAAGCAGCCTCAGAAGGAGCACTGGGGGGGAGATAGCAGTGCCTAGGACAGAGCAGAGGCAGGAGAAGGAAGTGCCACACTCAGAAAGCACACACTAGTATGGGAATTTAGACTGATCTAAGTCAGTGCTACTGTGGCTTTCCTCTTTGAATTGCTTCTTCTGAGGCTCTGCTGGCTCTCACCTGGCCTGGGTGAGACACTGCAGGAAATCTTCTCTTCTTGGCTTATCTCTCTGTCCTGCAGAGCTTCCATCCTGGTTTACCCCAGCCCAGCCAGGCAGCAATGCCAGCACAAAAGTGACAATGGAAGAGCACAGCCTAGGGTAAGACCTTTGCCTTGCAGTGGCAACTAGCCATGACCAGCCAGTTTAGTGGTCACATGGAACTATATGATGAGATGAGATATGAGATGAATGCTCTAGGCTGTTTTGCTTACAATATGCTGAGTTTCTATGCAGTTCTGCCTTCATTCAGTCCCCATCTGAAGGAAAATATTCTTTGTGGGGGGAAGTGTTTGAAAGTGTTGGCTTACACATGTATGGAACAGGAGTTTCATTTATGAAACAGACATGTCAAAAGGTAGCATCTAGGGCAGAGGAGGAGGAAGGCAGTGCAGATCTAAGCCCAAAGTTGTCTTCCAGGTGTCCAGGAATATTTCCAATATCATCCTGTCTTGTTTTGATGAATTCGATCTCTAGGTTTGCCTTTCTTGTCCCTTGCAGTCTGCCTATTGCCATTGCAACTAGTACAGAGCAATTTCTGCTATCCAAGAGGCTGATGACAAGATGCTAAAAGAGGATTTAAAAAAACCCAGGACCATTAATTTTGAAAAATCAAAATGATTCCCACTAGCCCCAAAAGAATCCTTCTTCTAGAATTAAATTAGTTATTTAGAAGTCTTCATATCCTCGTACCAATCTCCCAAACCACAGTGTCCATGTTCACAATATTTTTCATAAATTCAGATTTTAAAGGTTTTGAGCAGTAGTACCTTACTCCTGCAAAAATACATATACACTAATAGCTAACCTGTGTGTGACCATATTTAAAAAAATTACACAAAACCACATTCTGTCATTATTAGAAGACTACTAGTATTTCATAATAAAGTGTAGATTACATTATTGAAAAAAAGATCCTTTTTTTATTCCTATAGAATAAAAACACAAGAGGCATAGGTATTATTTTGGCCCATATTCCCATCAGCAAGGCTTCTTATTAGTCTTTCAATTTAGAATTTTTCTTACTGATATTCAAAGCAAACTCAACTTGATTTTTGGACTGATTTAATAGTAAGATACATTGCTATTTTACTTGTAAAATATATTGCAATTATGGGACAACACTCTGATACTTTTTTGGAGTATCTTTTTAGATGAGAGGCATGCTTTAAAATTTCATGCTGAATAAAAAGAAAAGAGAGCAGTAAAAAGCATTGCTACATCCTTAAAACAACATAAATACTAGAAATCAACAGAGTTACTATTTTTTTTCTGTTTTCCTATGCTGCTTATAGAAAATTGCAGCCAGTTCCTATTTGTATGGTAGTTCAGAGGCAGTTTACCTATTTCTATCATGTACTCCTTGTTGTCCTCATTTTAAGGGAATATACAGGCCTATAGTTCCTACCTTGTAAATACCAACTATGGACACTGTAATTAAACTGAATTTGTCTGTGCTCCCTGCTGCTCTTGGAGCTCAACCTTCCCTCACCTTTTGGCGTGCCTACTCCTGTCAGCATGCAGGGAGAGCCTTCTGGTCAGGCAGGAGGACACGTCGTATGCCAGGGGCATACTCAAAGATTTTGTCATCATTTTGCCTGCCTGGAACAGTTGCACACTTGCTTTCCTCAGTGGCACAGCAGGGAAAGAGAGATGCTCCAGCAGCCATCATCCCTACAGACCAGATTTCTCCCCGTGGATGCAGTCTCCTTTTTTTCACAGCAGACCTCTTCTGCTTTGGGGACCCTCTTCTTACAGACTGCACTCACACAAAGCATTTCCTTCTCCTCCATTTTGCTCCTACTTGAAAAGAAACACCCGTGCATAGATGCAAGGAGGCCTACATGGATGAACACAAGCAAGGAGCTCCTGACAAAACCCAAACATAAAAATGAAGTGTACCACAGGTGGAAGCAGGGACAGGGGATCTGGTGGAATACAGAGACACTGAGCATGCAGAGAGGGGATATTTTACTAATCCCAACTGCTCTCAAAGCAGTCTCATAGGCAAACTGATGAAATACAGACTAAATAAGTGTACAGTGAGGTGTACTGAGAATTAGCTGAACTGCCAGTCTAACAGGGTTGTGGCCAACAGTATGAAGTCCAGCTAGGGACCAGTCAACAGTGATACATCTCACAGGTCAATACTGGGGCCAATACTGTTTAACTTCTTCATCACTGATCTGGTTGACAGTAGAGAATTGGAACCTCAGCAAGTTTGCAGATGTTACAAGAGTGGGAGGAGATGTTGCCTACACCAAGTGGTGTATGTCTTTCAGAGGATCTCAACAGCTTGAAGAAATAGGCAGACATGAACCTCATGAAGTTTAACAAAGGGAAGAGCAAAGTCCTGTACCTGGGGAGTAACAACTCCATTCACCAGCTCATGTTGGGGGATGACTGCTCAAAGCAGCTTTGCAAAAAGTGCCTGGAAATCTTGCTGGACAAGGTGAATGTGAGCCATCAATGTGCCCTTGCTGCAAGGGCCAAGAGCATCCTGGACAGCACTGGAAAGAGCACTCCCAGCAGAATGAGGGGGGTCTTCTTTACTTCACTACATCAGGGTCTCTGAAAGGAAATTGCACGTGATATAATTTGTACTTTCTATATTCCCTCAGGAAGCTGTTGATTGGAATTGTGAGAGGGCAGCAGTACTGCCCTGTAGTACTTCAGTCGTCTCCTCTGTCCTTTATGGTCATGAGTCTTCAGAAGGCTGGAGATGATGCAGATGATGCACAAGTGAGAGTCCCCAGAACAACAGTGTGCCTCTGCACTGCAAATGTGTTGCCTTTTAACAGATCTGGAAGTTCAGTGATCATCAAGATCACTGCTACCTTTTCTTCAGCACAGCTTGGCAGTGCCTTCTCATATTTGTCTTTTCTGCTTTGCTTTGAGCATTCAAAAAATGAGGAAGTTAGTGAACTGTAGCACTTTGCTTCTGTGTCCTAAAATAAAATATTAACCTCTAAGAATACTTGAAGAATTTTCAGCGCCAAGGAGGCTTAGATTAGATGTTCTGCTATTTTTTATTTATAGCGTATGTTCCAAGTAGCTGAAGATTCCCTTTTGAAGAATAAAATCAGGACATGGAAAGATTTTCTCACCTCAGATGTTGCACTTACTCCCATTACTGCAAACTGCTGGACCCGCTCTGAGCTTCTTTACTCTAAATATTTATACTTGCAGACTCAAACAACAGGTAGTAGAAAAAAATTTAGCATCCCAATGATTTTTTTCTGGGTTTGTTACTGCTCTTCTGGAATATGGCAAAGCCAGCAATATCCTTGTAGTGTGCAGTGCTGATGGTACTTCGTTTTACACTAGAACACACAGGCTTGCATTTCAGGAGCTACTTCTTGTACTCAATACAATAGCGAGTGCAGAATAGAAACAACAAAATTGGGAGAAAAAAAACAGACAAGAACCTGGCAGAATAAATTCAAGACAAATTTATCCTGTTAGTGTGATCCCTTTTAGGAAGCAAGAAGCACCATTTACCCTAAACCCCACTCTGATACTGTTGTGTATTTTAATAACAAATTACTGGTTTTTAAATAAACAGAATTGGAACATCAGCCATTTACACAGGCAGACCTTCAGGTGCAAGCTCCATTTTGCAACAAGATGAATTAACACAGAGACTGGGTATGTAGGAAATCCCAGAAAAATTATGAGATCACCAAGTCCAGTTGGTGAAGAAATACTAAACCAAAAATGGCATTTTTTCCTTTTGCTATCTTCCTTTTCAATCTTACAAAAGACACTTCTTCCTTGGGATCTGCTCTGTTACCTGACGGTGTTGCTGATGCTACAAAACACGTGCATAAACACACCCTTTTTTTTTTAATTGCAAGACGAAAAAGTTGTCTACTCTGAAAAGGAGGAAAAAGTTGTCTACCCTGAAAAGGAGGCTCAAATTCACCGTCATCCTATTAGCAGTGAATTCTGAGCTATCATACTTACCACAGTAACAAAAGTGGGTGGGGTCTAGTCATTTGAAGTGAATGCTCAAAATGAGGTGCTGTCACCAAAAGAACTGTTAAAGGCTTTGTCTAAGAAATGCCTGACTCTCAAGAATCATTCTTAACTTTCATACAGAAACCTTTAGCCAAGAAGGTCTTTAAGCAGGTGGTTCTACCACAACATTCTTCGCTGTCCTCTTTCCTGTGTACATAGCTTCATAAATACTAAGTTTGAAATTTTTAAATTATAAATGTACATTTGAAAACGTTGATGAAGCAGAATTCTGTATTTTCCTGCTTGTGAATGGGAATGTCCGTGACTTTATGGAAACTTGGATAATAAAAGTGGCAGAAAACAATTTTTTTACCAAGAAATATGAGTTGGAAAACATGGGGAAAAAATCTTTCAGAAAATGACTGATCTTCCTCTGTCTGCATTCTTCTGTCTTCAAAAATATGACATATTCAAATGCACATCAACCAAAGAAAAGACAACATTGACAAAAGTTGGAATAAGAGTTGGAAGAGAGATCTGACTGAAACATGTTTGCATTTGAAACACTTTTTGGTGGTCGAGATTTATGCATCTAAATTACAATTAAATAATGTTAAGGTTATGAGTAACTCACAAGAGTGAAGAAATGTGCAATTAATGGGAAAATATACCATATGTCCTTTGATATCTAGGCATATTGCAGTGCATTAAGGAAGTCATAAAAGAGACACCCTGTTGTGGTTATGAGGTCTGAGACATGTGGCACATTTCCATTGTAGCTATCTATTTCCCTGCTTGTATGCATCTGTGCCATTATTTAAATGTTGATTTTGAATGTGAATTTCCCTTTGCATGGTAAAAAAAACAGAGCTGCAGACTCCTTTTTTTCAGTGTTTCTTTAGATCTGTTGCCATTTAGGAATGTGGAAGTCCAAAATGTTACACATATGAATGAAAAAATATCACAAATGGGAATAAATCGATTTAACTTAATCCTCAGACACATTTAAGGCAACGGAGATGGTTTTAGTTACTATGAACGAATGATCTTATATCTTCCCTCTAAAAACTGACACACTTAAATTCCAAACACTGTTCTCCTGTATTTTGCACGGAAACAGGAATTTACTAAAAAATTTCATGTATTTAATTTGGACCATTTGGGAAAATACAATGGGAGATTACTACTTTCATTTTAAGATTCCTGAACTGTGGCATCCCACAAACATATTTTTTTTCCTCTACTCAAAACAAACCTGAAAATGTGGAAGAAGAGAATGGAACATTCAGATCCTAAAAGCAGTATTTATGTGGCTGGCATGTAACCCACATTGTCCCAAACACCGTGATCACCAAGATACCTCAGTGCACAATATTTTATGTACAGTGCTTGGGTAACCAGTGAATGACATCTTCAAGTATGTCACACTTGTGGAAACAGAAAAACATTTTGTGGCATTCCCAGTGTTCAATGTACTTCAGGGGAACATGTTTGCTTCCAGTTGCTAGAGATGCCTGTAGCCTTGGGACACTTTCAGACACTTCACCAGTTCCCCAGGGCCAAGTATATGCTTCTGCCAAAAAAATAAGTCCTCAGAATTCTGTTAGTAACTGCCTAGGACATGGTACCTTCTGATTACGCACGGATTTGGCCGTGGCCATCATGCATTCTTCATTCCTAGGATTCTTCATTGCAGTTTGTAGTAACTAGAAAAAGTATCCTTTTGAACATAGAGATATTAGAACAGTTACCCTATGAGTTCACTCCCAAGATCATACAAAAATAACCATGAATCACCATGAAGCATATCAACTCTAGAAAAAACAGGTTTCCTCAACCCTTTTTTCTGGTTTTGGTTTCCTACCAGTATTATAGTGATGATGATAAAGTGTGTGGGAGACAGAAGAAATGGACCAAAATAGTCCAAAAAAATGTATCCAGATACCATGGAGATGAGTGAAGTCGTCAGAAATACAATCAGCCTAATGGACATGCTGGCATTGCTCCTCCTTAGCATGACTTACAGTGTCAGGATTGGGCCAGAGACATTTCCTGGAGAGAAAAGCAAGCCAGATTAGCATCACATCAACTCAAGGTCCTGTATAATCTGAAGAGACAGGGCAGAAGAAGTATCATTCTGGTAACAGAGAGCGTAAAGCCCAGGCAGTGGGCCCTTGGAGAGCATGATGCTGTAGGAATGCAAGAGCAGCTTGGAGCCAGCAGCCTGGGAACTGGTTGTCAAGGGAAAAAAGCAGGGGGTGATGGGCAGCTGCAGTACACCCTTGGACAGCAGAGCCAGGAAGAATAATCTTCATGGGGCTGGGGAAAGAAGCCAGCCTAGGAACAGTCTGAGGAGAGAGCATGCCAGTTGGGAAGCAGCTGTACAGCCACGGGGTGGCCATGGATGCCACTGACAAATGTGTGCTGCAACCCAAAGGGCTGGCTAGGGCTGCAGGGAAGAGCCAGGGCCTTCAGCCAGCAACAGCTGAGGAATAGAGCAAGCAATGCACTGAGTAAGGACCAAGATGCACGTTTTGTGTTGTGGTGTCCTGTCATCGAGTAGTGAGTGTCCTGTCAGCCACAGCAGCATGCACCTCTGCCAGCTACAAGAGCAGGGATCACTCTGCAAAAGGCAGGGAATTCTGTACCCACAGCCTACAGTGTGGCTAAGCAGGGCATGTGCTCAGGAAAAAGCAGGTTTAAAATGCTTTAGTTGGGGTCTTTCAACATCCCTGTACCTTCTACCCTATGAAACTCCTCATTCTTCTAAAGAATTGTCTTAGACTTTGCAAACTTGCTCATGAGGCTCTTTGGCAAAACCGAAATTCCCTCCAGTGGCTGCACCGAAACAAACCAAGGCTGGTTTCAGCACTGCCAGCGTCTGCCATTTATATTCAAAATTGCAGCAGGAGCTGCTTTTCCTTGCTCCGTTTCGCTCCCACTCCCTGCGGCCGCTCAGCTCGGCAGGGAAAAGCAGCCCCAGGTCAGCGAGCTGGAGATCATCCAGTCCAGCGCCCGGCCAAGGCAGGGTCACCGACAGCAGGTGACACAGGAACGCGTCCAGGTGGGTTTGGAATGTCTCCAGAGCGGGAGACTCCACGGCCTCCCTGGGCAGCCTGTTCCAGTCGCTGCCACCCTCAGCGTAAAGAAGTTCTTCCTCACGTTGAGATGGAACTTCTTGTGTTTTATTTTAGGGCCACTGCTCCTCATCCTGTCGCTGGGCACCAGTGAAAAGAGTTTGGCACCATCCTCTTGCATCGCACGTGGCAGGAGTGTCACAGCGGCAGCGGCACCTCCCCCGGCGCTTCGTGACCGCCGGTCCCCTCACGGACGGGACGGGCCGGGACGGGACGGGACGGGCCGGGCCAGGCGAATACAGAACGCGGCGCCCGCTCCCCTGCCGCGCCTCCTGCCCCGCCCCGCCCCGCCGCCCGCGCGGGCTGCCCGGATGCAACCAACGGCGGCGCTGAGCGGAGGGGGGGAGGGAGAGAGCGCCGCCCGGCACAGTCCGAGCGCGTCCCCTGTAACGTGCGCACCACGGCGCTCGCACCCCCCCCGCCGGCCGTACCACTTCCCTGCCTGTCCGGCTCTGAGGCGCGTCGGGCAGGATCGTACCAACGCGGCCGAGGGAAAGGGGGTAGACAAGAGGGTGCGTGACAAGGGGTGGGGGGTCACATTCGAAACGGCGCAGCGCCGGCTCTCAGTCTCGTTGTTTTGGCCAAGCCGTGCGGGGCAGCCGCGGTCTCATCGGAGCTCTCCCTCGCCGGCGGGAAAAGCGGGAAGGAGCCGCCTGTCCTCCTTAACGCCTTCCCCCGGCGGGATGGGGATGGGCCGTCCCGCCAGGCGCGCGCCCCCGCCCCCCCGCGCGCCGCGTTCTTCCCGGATCGGCGCCGCTGTTGGATTCGCGGGGCGCGCGCGCGGGCAGGCGGGAGCGGGGGCGGGCGCGGAGTCTCCTGGCACCCGCCAGACATGTCGGTGGCGTTCGCGGCCCCGAGGCAGCGGGGCAAGGGCGAGATCACGCCGGCCGCCATCCAGAAGGTGAGGAGGGCGAGGGGAGGCGGGCCCGGGCCGGGCCGGGCCGCCCTGGGGGCTGCAGCTGCCGCTTCCTGCCGCGCGGGGAACGGGGGCGGCAGCGCCCGGAGCTTCCAGGCCCCGGCGGGGAAAAGGAAGGGGGCCGGGCCGGGCTCGCTGTGCCCGGGGTCGGGCCCAGCGGGGCGCTTGTTGGGTCCCCGGTCCGGGTGAGGCGCCGGGCAGGGGCGGGCGATGTCCCTGAGGCCCCCACCCCGCCCTACTTCCTTCACCTCGGCTCCACGATCGACCCCGCGGGCCTGAATTAACCCGAAGGAACTCGGCCTGGACGCGGAGGAGTCGAATAAGTCCCTTCCTGCGAGGGGAGCCTGACGGTGGAACCGCAGCTGGGCTGTTCTAGAGCCTTTGCCTGACTTCGGGCCCTGCGGGGTAAGCGGCGGATCCAGCTCCCAAACTTGGTCGGCCAAGTTAATGCTCCCTCCCCCAGAACCTGAGGTGTGATTAAAGAAGAACATCGCTGCCGGAGCCAATGACAGCGGCTCCGGACGACTCCATTTAAGCTTTTGTGGGAGGGAGCAAGTTAACTCGTTAAAGAGCTCAAAGAAAAGCACGTAAAGGATTTGTAAGAATCCACAGTGTTTTCTATCAGCAGAAATAAAGGAGCATGTTCAAGTTCACTAGTAAGTGGCTGGTATTTGGAAACTTTGCTGAAGACTCGCACTGTTGTTGGTGTAGATAGCCGTGAATCAAACACATCTCAGATTGCTACAAGCTCCTTGTGTAGTAGGAGCCTTTTGGGTAAATGCAGCTAACCTCTGATTTAATAAAGAATTAGAGCGTCAAAAAAGTAGGTGTTTCAGGGATATGGACCTCAAAGAAGACCCCAGAATTATAATGGAGTCCTCCAGGAGAAGTTGGTGTGTGAGAACTGTAGGTGAAAAATATATACCCACTAGGTGGAAAGCTGCTCAGAGGTAGTCTGTAGAGACTTCAGGTCTCTGAGGTGCTTACAGAGAACATAGACAAGTTTCTCTTGTGCTGTAGTCAAACCACTAATTTGATGGTGATGTGCTGGCAAAATCCTAGTGTAGTTAAATCTGAAGAATCTTTGTAATGTACATAAGGTGTCAGAAGCCCTGGAGGTACCTTCATCCACCTGGTAACTAAATTCTCTTTTGATGGTAGGGGTTTATAACTATTTCAATTTTCTATCAGCAAAGGCTCAATTAAACTTGTATAAAATAGTTGTCTGCAGCCTCATCTAGGATACAGTTATACTGCTTGTTCCCTTTCCTCTTGGCCCTAGCATTTTTTCCCCCTCTCCCAGCCCTTAGTCCCCAAGAGGTCCAGCTTACATGGCTGCAGTGAAGGATGCAGCCATCAAACTGGCAGTCTCAAGGTCTGCCTGTCTGCTAAGCCGCTCCTGTGCGAGACATTCTGAGGAGAGCCTTGATTCAAGGCTTCCTTTGCAAGTTCTCTATTAGACTTCAGAATCAAAGGTATTATCTCCTTTTTTTCCTTATTTTTTTTCTGATGAAAGTGGCCACTGTGTTTCTTATAAAAGTTGAAGTTAGTATGTGTGTCATGTGTCTGTGTAGTAGTGGGTTTGTGATCCTCTTTGGGGAGTGCAGCTTCAGCTTTGCCTAGTTTCTGAGGCTCGCACAGTAACTGAAAATACTGCAGTCATGTCTATGTTTAGTGCTTAAATGTGTTTCCAGATCCAGCAGTTTCAGGCAAAATACTTGTGCTGGGATCATCCTAGTCAGTTCTGGTGGATTCCTGGTTAACATTTAAGAAAACTTGGCTGGGTCATTCTTATGTGGATAGAAGGCCTGAGTGGACTGCATAAGGTTTCTGACTCTATACACTTTTCATAATAGAGGTGGATTAGTCAGAGGGGAAAAAAAAAAAAAGTCAGTACTTCTTTCTTTTTTTTGCCTCTCTGTAGAATTTTTGTAGGTTGGATTCCTAAGGAAGTGAAGATCACGTAATGATGTGCTTTCCTTGTAAAAGCATGAGCCTTGTAAAAGCATGGCTAGTTTCAACCACGTTTGGAAGGAGAGAGTATTAGAGGTGGTTAAGATTCTATTAGTTTTGTGAAATTCAGCAGCTGGTTAAAGGGATCTAAACTAGCTTTCCAGTAAAAGAAAACAAAGGAATAAATTGATGCAAAATTTCCCATTTGGCAGTAAATTTTCTGTTTTGTTCAGTTGACTTGGATAACTTGGCTTGTAGCTCAGATTATTCATGGTTCTGCTGAGTCTTGTCTGATCAGAATGTAGGATGGGGGTTTAAAAGACAAGAGTGTGGGGATGTGCAGCTCTAGGAAACCAGGCTGGTTTTTTTTATTGTTTATGTGACTTTGTGAACTTTCTGAAGAAAGCTGTGAGATTGACCACTTCCCATGATTTTTAAAGCTACTTTTTTTTTTTTGGTCAGAAAAATCTAATTCATATGTGTTCATTTTTGTGGACACTTCTGAAGTATAACAGAACTATTGTGCCCGTTTGTCCTGATTCTGGCCATAACACAGTTAATTTTTCCATTAGCCAGGAGGGGCATGGCTGGGACCCGGAGGCTATTCTGTACCACTTTACATCAGGGATGTGGGAAGGAGTCCCTTCCAGATCGAATAGCCTGGTGGGGTCAGGTATTTTCAGGATCCTGGGTGCTGAGCACTCACATGTGAATTGTTCACCACTCTTGTACACTGTGTTATTAATGTTGTTTCTGTTACTGTTTTTTTTTCTTATTTAATTACTGTTTCCATCAAATTGTTCTTATCTCAACCTGTGATCTTTACCTTTTGTGCCTCCAGTTCTCCTCTCCAGCCACCAGCCCAGCAGAGGGGGAAGTGAGCAAGGGGCAGGTGGTTTGGGGTGTTTCAGTGGGAACAATAAACTGGGGAATACCATTCCTCAAGCACAACACCATTAAACCAAATATTTATAAAATGCAGTTTAGTTAGAGATTCTTCATGTAAATACGGCCTAGCTTTCCAGCACATTTCCTTGAAGCAAATCTGACTGGTCATCTCACTTCTCATCAATAACAATTTCAGTGCCTTTTGTTATTAAATTTATAAACAGTTGCAGGCTTTAGAAGGAGAAGGGAAACTTGGGGTGTAAACTTTTAAGCAAGTTTCTTGTTAGCAATCAAATGAAGGAAAGCAGAAAACTTCTAAAATTTCTAAGAACTTGATGCAGAACAGGCAAGTATTTAAACAGGATGCTTCATAAGTGTAGCTACAGTAGTGCTATGAAACCCTTAAACTGAAACCAGTAATACTAATCGGAGGGAAAAAATGGGAGCAAAAGAGTGTTTTATAAATTATTGGTGAAGTAGAGCTTTTTGGATTACTACTTTTTTTGTTGTTGTTTTTAAAAACTCTGAGAAGAGGAGCAAGACTCAAAACTTATTTTCAGTCTTTCAGCAGAGAACATGAAACTTACTCCAAACTTCTTCTTTATTGTTTCAGATGTTGGATGAAAATAACCATCTTATTCAGTGTATAATGGACTATCAGAACAAAGGAAAGACTTCTGAATGCTCTCAGTAAGACCTTAATCCGTATCTTCTGTGGACTGGGTGAATTTCCATCTAGATCAGCATTATAGATTTGTTCAGCTCACCTTGTAGGAGAACTGTGCTCTGAAGAACAAATAAGTTGTGCTACAGATAAAATTTATGTGGGTTTTTTTATTTGCTGTATGAGTATCACTTTTGTCACTGAAATGTTGTAAGTGGCCTACTGCAAGTTGATGTCATGATGACAATGCTCATAAAAATTGGGACTGTATAACAAAGATCTTTTCCCTCTGTATCATAATTACACTTTGGGAAAGAGGTAGCCTTCTTCTCAAACATTTCAAAATCATGTAGGAAAATGGACCTTTCTTCTTCATGATGGCATGTTTGAAAACTGCCTACTTTTCACTTGCCCGAGAACAAATAGGCTTGTCTTAAATGTTTGGCCTGCCAAAATATCCCACGTGGACTTGCTGTCTAGTGAGAACTGTAGAAGGAGTCAATTGTTGAGGAATGTTATTTTCTCATTACCATTTTCTGGCACGAGATGATCACGGCACCCATGTAATCAAATATGGAGTCATGGGACAGAGCATCATAACATAGCTCAAGTCCCTTGCCAAGAGAATCGGTAGTGTGGGAGTAGGAGGGGGATCATAAATAGTAGGTGTTTTTTGTTTAAGGGAATACTTTTGTTCTAGCACAGTTAGTGTATTAAGCTGTTTGAAAGCCTGTAGTTATGTACTTCTGCTCTGTTCCTGATTTTAAGGTTATTTTTGTGACCGGACTAGATGTTGGGACGCAGGACTGTGGTTCTGTAGCAGGAAAATCATTCCATAGCAAACTTCCAAAGCTTAAGGTCCTAATGAAATGTGTGCACTGGTCTTGGTCACGATTCACATAAATCTATGATATCTTGTATATTGGGACAAGATAGAAAGACCTCTTATTCTCTAGTGTTTGTGATGAAAATTACACTGAACAGGCACAAACACATGAGAGAGCTCTATGTCTTCTGGTGATTTAGTTTAGGGCAGGAAGTGAAATAGGTGAGAACAGTGTCACCCAGCTTTAGATTTTTTCACAGCAAGACAGAAGTAGAGAATATACAGGCACAGATTTGGTGGAGACATTGGTAAAGACTGGACAATAGATAAGTGTGAGGGAAAAAAACTTAAGATTCCTAATAATGGTGCTCTTCTAAGTCTCTTGAATCTTGATTTACACAGGTAGCCTTTTTGACATGTGTAGAGTTAAAGTAAATTCTGATGTTACTGTATTTGTGAATTAAGATCTGTTTTGCTTTGTTTATTTTGATAGATACCAGCAGATGCTGCATACAAACTTGGTTTACCTAGCCACTATAGCTGACTCCAACCAGAACATGCAGTCTCTACTACCAGCAGTAAGTACAAAATAGTGCAAAAGTAGGGAATAGATTTCATTTGGATTCCTGGAGGAAAAAAAAACAAAACAACCAAACAAGTGTTTGAGGTAATGACCAAACACTTTGCCTCTGATTTACTGTATATTGAATACATGATGCAGTGTGTCTTCATGCTGTATTTAGAGTAATCTCGCTACTTAGGTCTTGCTTAAAACCTGACTTGTTTAACTGGAGGCTGTTACTGTGAATCAGGTGTGCAGTGCACAGATTATCTGGCCTCCTTCAAGGATAGATTTTTTTTCCCCCCACTTAGCTGAGAACTGTAGTGATGTGATATGGCTCTTGGTCAACAACTACAGCAGTACTCTTTTTCCTCTTACATTAGGGAAAGGTGGGGGAATGGGATTTTTTTTTTTAAATATTATTATATTTTTATTTTTCACTGAAATATCATCCATTCTCTTGCCTCGGTGGAATGAGGCTGGGTAAATTTTTGTCTGCTTTTCTATACTGTAGTTGAGTTTCAAATTGTTTGCCTCTCTCCTGGTTTTGAAAGCGATCTTTTTTTAAGGTGGGTAGTGATAACAGGAAAAAAATAAGGGCTCACAGGCTTCACTTGAGACACTGCATTGCTTTACATTTCTTGGATATTACTTGCTATCTTTTTAATCTGAATTTTTCTGAGTCTGTCTTCCTGAACTCTGTTTTATAAAATCCATGAAATTTTTCCCATGTTCCATTGTTTATGGAGCAGTAAGGAAAGAAACAGCAAACATTAAAATAGCTTGCTATCTGTTTGCTTTCTGTGTTAATCGGAAAGCTTGGGGAGTTCATTGTGAGTAACACAAGGAAGTTCTTTGTTTTTTGGTAATAAGACTTTTCTTGAATTAATATAGTCTTGATTCATTTCTGTAATATGAAGCTAAAAAGAATGTCTGTAAAACAGCCATTCCTAGATACTAGTTTTCACCAACTGAAATTGAATTACTTTTTCTTTGGTCTCTGGAGAAGTGTTCTCCAATCATTGCTACTAGCAAAGCATCCTTTCAAGTTGGTACCTAGAGAACTATAGAAACAGTGCTTCATTATGTCCAACCTGTTGTGCCTGTAGAGGCTTCTCTTTTTATAAATCCATGCTTGTAGCTGAGGGGGAGGGAGAGAAACCTTTAAGAGGGCTATGTGTGTTCCTCAGCTAATATGTTTTTTGAGGCTTAATTCATATCCTGGTTCTGATGACAACTGGAAATGAATTTGACCTTATCCTAATCCCTGGTGAACAGCCCTGCTGTTAAAAGTTGAATGCGATGACATTCTCTTCTTAAAAGAAAATGAAGATAGGGCTGGGAAAGTCTTTTGCAGATCTAGACTGAAGTGCATTTCTGATCCTGAATGGAAGGAATATTCCACACTACTGAGAAAAATAGGATAGTGTCTGGTGGAGGGAGAGGGAGTCCCCTTTGGACAGCTGAGGAGGGGAATAAAAAAAGTAGCTTCTTTGTTTTTCTTACAAACAAAAACACAAAATGAAATTTCGATCTTCAGTGTTATCTAAATGTAGACGCTCTGACCTACCAAGCAAAATCTTGGAAGATTTCCCTGAAATGTGGTAGCATAATCAGATAAGATGATTTTTGTTGGGGTTTATAGAACAATATTCTTTAAGTTCTTTCTATCTTCCCAGTAAATTTTAGTTAGAAGAATTTGAGAACATGTGAGCTACTGCTTTCTACAATGCAGGATAAACTACTTCAGATTCTTTTCCTCTTCGTTTTCCATTTAAGAACTGATGAGGCTCAAGTTGACTTGGAAGTATTTAGTTTCTCCTCACTATGCTTCTCTATCAGCTGTTGAGCAGTTTACTAAATTCAAGGGTTGTGGGTGGCAAAAGCTAAATATGGAGAAAGATACTCTGTGTGTAGACATCTACTATTTTTTATACTAAATACATCAATTATGATACTCTTAATGCGGTAACTTTCCACATAACTTAGTAGGGATTGAGTCTGGATAGCTTCTCATCTATTCATCTCGGGAAGATTGTTCCCCTAGTAAACTGTATTTTCTTGTTTGTTTAAATTTTATCTTGTTGCTGTTTTAATCAGCTAAATAAACTCTAAAGAAATTTCTCAACTCAAGGTATTTTGTAGAAACTAATAGTTGTGTAGTAAAGTGAGACTGACCTTGTAGAATATACCATCTAAGGAGTCTTTCTGCTGTGCCTTTTGCAACCGGACATGCCTTTCTCGTATTGGCCTTTTTAGCCACCAATGCGCTTGCAAGAAACGTGGGTAGAGCCCTTCCCAAATCTTCGTTTGCGAAGCCTAGCCATGAAAGTGAGGCTGAAAAGAGAATACTGCTGTTAAGATAGCATTCACACTGAAGAAAAAGGATGAATGACCAGGTTCACTGAAGTTTTTAATACAAGCTAAAATGATTCTAACCTGATGTTAACTTCATTGTATTCTCTAACAATATTCCTTAGCCTTAATGCATAAAGCATTGCTGGGAAAATTGTTGGGGAAATGGTTCGTACTCAGCTGCTGTGCCTCTGTCCTCGTCTTTTACAATGCACTATTCTAATGAAATGTCTGACATCCTCTCTGATACTCTGGTATTGCCTGTAGAGAACAAGAAGTGTAGTGAGCCAACAGTGTTGTGCAGAGAAATGTTTCCGTAAGGGGGACCTGGAAGTGAAGAAAAGGTGAAACAGATAAAGGAAGCACTGCAGGGTCTGGGGTGAAGGGAACTAGAAAAACTTTGCAACTCCGGTGTCGTAACAAAGCTCCTGTTGTCTTTGTGTGCATGCTAAAGTATTAAATTATGACTTTTGGGGTAAGAGACCTTCTTTCACATTAAAAGACAAAAAGAGCGTGAGGTTATTCTGGAGTCAGCCAGTCTTTCCTCAGCTGTGTGAATAGCAACATTTTTGAGGGCAGGGCTGTTTTGAAATGTCTTCCCATCTGGATAAGAGCACTAAGTCCACCTGTGAAGTTGATGCAACTTTGTTTCCTCTCTTAGAGTTGTGGCAGGTAGTTCTTTCTTGGATAGCAGATGTCTTAAATGTCTCTTTACCACCACCTTATCAGACAAGCCAGCTTACCAAAGAGGGCTTGTGCCATGAGGAAAACAACACTGTTGAAGTCTTGTGATACTTCATTAGTGCTGCTTTTGAGGGAGGCTGTAACAAGGTATTGGTGTCCTTGAACTATGGAGAGCAAAGGTGCAATTAAAGCGGTAGTGAAGTATTGTGTGCGTGTTTTCCTAAACACATTCAATCTCAAACTCCAGAACAGGCGTCTTGTCCTCCCTGACTCTTATTTTTTTTGTTTTCTTGAAAATGTTTTAGTGGCCTTAAAAAGGCATTGCAAACTATTGAATAAAAAAACCCCAGCTTTTCTACTTGGACATTTTCTCTCCCTCATGTCTTAATTTTGCCAAATATTTATAAGGAAACAACCTGTGACCATCAGTTTATTTGGTATGTAAAGGGGAACTTTCCATTTTATAATGGGCAGATATTGAGGTCTGCAGGAATTATTTGATTGGGTTTTTTGATTATTTGATTTGGTTTAATTATTTGTTTGGGTTTTTTTTAAACACAGAAATTTATTTTTTTCAGTGTTTTCATTACATAATGCATCTTGCCTTCTGTTAGAATGAGATTTCAGCATGAGATTTCAGTGTGTATTTCAAGAAGGTGATGAAAATAAATGACTATTACTCACTTGTGTAACATACCAGTTTTCTTTTATGTTGAAAGTGCCAGTTTCTTCCAGTAGCAAGCTAAAGTTTCCAAGAAAACTTGTTGTGTCCAAGTTGTAGAAAAAATCTGGACATCACATTGAATTATTTTTCTAAATTTCACAATACTGGAAAGATTATAATAAACTAATAAAAAAGCAATTTTTTTTTTCTTGCTTGAGATATTTATTTCAAAACTAAAGCTTTTTGTAGGACTTGTGAAATCCCTTATTGTGTGTTGTTTCCAAACTTGTCACACAGATTAGAGCGGAGTCTGTTTAGTTACAAAATACTTCTACATAAAATGGTAATTGCTTTTTATAAACACCCAACATCAACAGGCACTGAAATGCTGTTTATTTCCAAAACAACTGCTGTAAGAGATAAAACCACTAAACATAATTACTAGCACTTGATGAAAACTTGCCTTCAACTTCCTTATTGGGAGATTTGTTTTTTATTTGTTTTGTATGTGGGTGGTGATTGTCTTTTTTTTCCTAAGTTGTGGAGTTCTGCAGGCTAAATAGGAATCTTTGACGTAAGCATGGTTTCACTCAAACAGTGGAAAGTCTCATATGATCTTAAACACATTATTTTTCAAAAGTGTAGTGTTTAATCTATGGTTTTAATGAACTCGTGATGTTTCTAGAAAAAAATTGGAGTCTTAGGAACTGAACAGTGCACTCTGCTTCTTTGGTAGCCTTTATTTGAACATAAAAGTTGTCTAAAATATATGTTAATTGAATTACCTTGATAACTATTTTTCTTGAAAAAGCAAGATGGGATCCAGAAAATAAAAATATGGCTCAGTTTTAATAACTTAAAATAAAATTTTGAAATAAAATACTTGTTACTGATGATGAGAGGAATCTTAAATTTATGAGATTCTTGTCCACTTATGTACTAAATGCCTGGGAAAGACTGATGTCTGTGGTAGTGTTATGGTTTAACCTCACCTGGCACCTAAGTACCATGCAGCTGCTCACTCACCTCACACATCTTCCCTCTCGTCATAGTAGGATGGGCAGGAGAATCAGAAGAAAACCTAAAATGTATGGGTTGAGATAAGAACAGTTTAATAATTTAAATAAAATACTATAATAGTAATCACAGAAATGCTGAGTTGGAAGGGATCCACAAGGATCACTGAGTCCAATCCTTAGCCCTGCACAGGACCATCCCCAGGAGTCACACCATGTGCCTGAGAGTATCATCCAAACACCTCTTGAACTGTCAGGCTTGGTGCTGTGACCACTTCCCTGGGGAGCTTGTTCCAG